GATAGTGAGCTTGGTTATTCTACTACTAATATTGTATTTAAGGAAGTGTTTCAGAATGTGTAATAAAATAAATTATTTTTTTCTTATTTTATATTGCTAGAGCATTTTCTTTATATTACGAGAACCAATTTATTTTAACACTATTCCCTTTTTAATATCATGGCGCGCATCGCGCGGGTGGCGTACTAGTAATTTATATAGTACATCGTAATAACGCGTTTGTGTGCATTGCACATGATACATGATGGTTAATAGATATGGCTTATAACATTTTAACATTTTGTCTATATCTACATATGTGCATTTATGCACATCATCGAGTATTAGTTGTACTTTAATATACAAAAAAAAAACAAATAAATAAATAAATAAATAAAAGAAAATGATATATTAATCTATATATATATATATATATATATATATATAATTGGTGGCTAATAGCGTTTAATAAAACATTTAATAAAACTTCTTTCGATTTCCCTCAAAAAACTATTACAAACTTTATTATTTATATATATCTCTATATTTAATTACTAATAATAAATTTAATAATATTGATTATTGTTTAACATCTTTTTATGTTACAATCTTCTATTATTATTATTATTATTATTATTATTATTATTATTATTATTATTATTATTATTATTATTATACTAATTATTATTGTTATATATTATATATTATGTTATATTATATATATAATTACTAGCTGATGCATTTAATAAACATTTAATAAAACATATTTTCATTTCCCTCCAAAAGGAGTTACATTATTTTTAATTAATTACTCACTAATCTGCTAAATCGTTACACTTTTTTTTTTGTTTTTCCAAACGATAGATAATAATATACCACCAAAGTCGAACAAAGTTCGAAAGTACAACTACAATGGGAGATACACTCAAAGAGTGATCTAGAAAAAACAGAAAAGAAACTCGAGAAGAAGCGGGGAAGCAACCACCAAACCTACCCCTCGATAGGCCAGAAGCCAAACTCAAAGAACAAGTCAATAAGTACAAAAAACCGAAACAAAGGAAAAAAAAAATAATAATAAGGCAAAGACACTACCATGCAACTAGATGGACTCAAACTCCAGCCACTCTCTCCACGCACCTCGAGCCACTATTTTCTCCGGCATCCATACCTCCTCAAATAGCTAAAACCGTTACACCTTAATATATATATTTTTATTATTTATTTTTTAGATCAGTTACTAAATTAATTCTAAGTTTGGTAGCAAAATATTTAAATGTGTAACGACTAATGTTTGGAACTTAAAGATAATTGGTACATTCAGAGTTGTAACCGCTATATTTGGTACACATATTTTTTTTTTCTAAAAATCAGAAACACCAATAATTTTTTTATTTATGTTAATTTCTTAATATATGCCACAAATATATAAATTATATTAAACGTTGCATGGTTAAAAAAATTAAACCTCAATCAATATTGAATGATAAAAGTAACTTAAGAAAAAGTAATAATTTTTATATGATAGAAGTACATGTCTAATTAATAAACACAAACAAAAAATGTGTATTATGATTGTGCAAATGCACAAGATCAAATATTAGTAGTCATTTATCACAAAAATACAAAATTAAAAAAAAGGCAATTGGGCCTAAATTTGGCAGGGCTAGGATCAGAAAAAATGACGCCGCTTGACCATCTCCATAAACATTTTACAATAAAAGCCTTGGTCAATATTTAGACAATTATACTCCATTTCATTTTTATTTATACCTTTTTTCAAATTTTTA